GTAGTAGTAGTAGCACTAGTAGTAGTAGTAGTAGTAGTAGTAGTAGTAGTAGTAGTAGTAGTAGTAGTAGTAGTAGTAGTAGTAGTAGTAGCGGTAGTAGTAGCAGTAGTTGTAGTAGTAGTAGCAGTAGTAGTAGTAGTATTAGTAGTAATAGTAGTAGTAGTAGCAGCAGCAGTAGTCGTAGTAGTAGTAGTAGCAGTAGTAGTACCATTAGTAGTAGCAGTAATAGCACTAGTAGCAGCAGCAGCAGTAGTAGTAGTAGTAGTAGTAGTAGTAGTAGTAGTAGTAGTGGTCGTTGTTGTAGTAGTAGTAGTCGTAGTAGTAGTAGCAGTAGTAGTACCATTAGTAGTAGTAGTAGTAGCACTAGTAGCAGCAGCAGTAGTTGTAGTAGTAGTAGTAGTAGTAGTAGTAGCAGCAGCAGTAGTATTAGTAGCAGTAATAGTAGCAGTAGTAGTAGTAGTAGTAGTATTAGTAGTAGTAGCAGTTGTAGTACTGGTAGTGGTAGTTGTAGTAGTAGAAGCAGTAGTGGTATTGGTTGTAGTAGTAGTAGTAGTAGTAGTAGTAGTAGTAGTAGTAGTAGTAGTAGTAGTAGTAGTAGTGGTAGTAGTAGTAGTAGCACCAGCATTAGCAGTAGCGGTAGCAGTAGCAGTAGTAGTAGTAGTTGCGTAAGTAGTAGTAGTAATGGTAGTAGTAGTGGTAGTAGTAGCAGTAGTAGTACTGGTAGTGGTAGTTGTAGTAGTAGAAGCAGTAGTATTATTGGTAGTAGTAGTAGTATTATTGGTAGTAGTAGTAGTAGTAGTAGTAGCATTAGTAGTAGTAGTAGTAGTAGCAGTTGTAGTACTGGTAGTGGTAGTTGTAGTAGTAGAAGCAGTAGTGGTATTGGTAGTAGTAGTAGTAGTAGTAGTAGTAGTAGTAGTAGTAGTAGTAGTAGTAGTAGTAGTGGTAGTAGTAGTAGTAGTAGCACCAGCATTAGCAGTAGCGGTAGCAGTAGTAGTAGTAGTTGCGGTGGTAGTAGTAGTAGTAATAGTAGTAGTAGCAGTAGTAGTAGCAGTATTAGTATTAGTAGCGGTAGTAGTTGTAGTAGTAGAAGCAGTAGTGGTATTGGTATTAGTAGTAGTAGTAGTAGTAGTAGTAGTAGTAGTAGTAGTAGTAGTAGTAGTAGTAGTAGTAGTAGTAGTAGTAGTAGTAGTGGTTGTAGTAGTGTTAGTACTGGTAGTGTTAGTAGACGGATGTGATGAAAACGCTAGGACACGCTTGGTCAGCTTTTTGGCTTTTATATAGATACTGATTTTCAGTATCTGAAAATGGTAAATAATATCATAAGGAAAATCAACTGTGTATTTTTCCATCTCGACTCACAATTCCTTTCGTCGATGCTTGGGAGTATGGATCGAGTGCAGGAGCAACTAGAAGGATAATCTTTCGTTGTAATGAAGCCTTTACAAAAAAGAAAGTAACAATGATTATGAGCAAAGCTGATGTGCACACAAATCAATCGACATATACAATTAACCGAGAAGAATCCTGGTTTGTTCGATTGACATTTTAGCTGATGACTTCGACCGAATTACTAATCATTGGTTCTTCTCAGAAGAACATTTAGCAAAACAGTGCATTTCAGAATCCAGCAACAATCATCTACGTCTCTCACAATGCCTCACTTTCCATTACTTTGCCAGATTTTGAGATGTTGGAGAATATTTGTAGCTCATGAGGATAATTTTGATGGTGTTGTGTCCACTGTAGTCGTGGAGCTTTCATGTTGATTCGAGACATTATTATCACCAGAAACTTCAGAAGAACTGAGCTATAAGGCTTTCACTACAATTTATTTAGTAGCCTGTCCTGTGTGTGATTGGTTGTTTCTGCGAAGGTCTTGTCTCTAAATTGATTCTGATTGGTTGTTCTGATGACGTGAAATTTGACCTTCTTGTTGCTTCTTATTGTTTGATAGATTGGGTCAATGCCAAAATGTCTGTTGATTGCTGAATGACCTGAATACCAAGCTTCTAAAAATTCCCTGGCATTTATTTGTATTTCCTCTATGCAGGATTTTCACATTTTTCCTGGCAAATTCATGTCCACAGTTGTTCTTACGCATTGGTATGAGCGAAGATATGTCATGACGCTTCACTGCTAGTTGATGTTCATGTAGACGGATGCGAAAAGGACGACCGCTCTGTACGATGTAATGTTTTCTTGGTTTCTGCAGTTTATTTTGTAGATAAATTTTGGTTTATTTTCCTTTACTATCGCACCTTTCAGCTTGCTTAACAAAGAACGGCGATATTTTGCGGGCTTATGAGATACAGTGATTCCGGAAGGCTTCAATAATCTAGTCGTGATCTTCGAGACGTTCTTCACTTAGGGTAAGATAATTGTTTGCAGGTTTTCGAGGCTGACCTCTTGATTGACGATGAATTATGTAAACATCATTTGATGAAGTTGAGTTGATAGCCATTCTTCTGGAAAATAATCATCAAATAGTTTTCTTCTTTACTCTGCAAGGTTAATGAACCACATTTTGTCTTCGCTTTTTTGAATAATGTTTTTATACAACTGATTTTGTGTTCTTTTGGGTTGTTACCATTGTGGTTGAGAATTTGATGTGCATGAATCTGGATACTTCAGTTTTCAATTTCCCCGAATCCATCCCAGTGATCAGAACATTTAAAAATGCAAGTTTGTTATTTGATTTCTATTGAATTGTTAGTTTGTTGTCGACAAAAAATGTTGTTGATTAATATGTAAGCGTTTTTCAATTCGTTTCTTTTAATGATGACAAACATGTCATCTACATATCGGATCCAAAGTTTTGGTTTAATCAGCGGCAATACTACAGTTTCCAATCTTTGCATTACTGCTTCAGCAATTATTCCTGATATGGGCGATCCCATTGGTGTTCTCTTGGTCTGTTTGTAGAGTTCGTCGTTGAATCCAAAATAGTTTGTACGGCATAAATCAATTACCACCACCAAACTTGAACATTGGAGTTGTGTACGTTCTGAAAGGTGTGTATCATTGTTGAGGAAAAGAGTCATTGTATCCTTAGCCAGTTCCGGTTCAGTTGAGATGTATAGAGCTGTAACTCTGAAAGATACCATCAGTTTGTCGTTTTCACTACGAATATGCTTTATCTTTTCCAAAAATTGTGTTAAAGAGCTGATAGAGCGATCATATAATTCTACCAGATGATTTAGTTTTCTGAAGAGTTCTTATGAAAGATTGTGTATTGGGGTTCTTAGAAGTGAAACAAATAGTCGCGTAGTGGTATGTTTGGTTTGCATATTTTTGGTCAACCATAGAAACATGGGGGAACAAGTAAAATTGGATTTCACCCACTATTGATCTTGTTTTATAGCTCATTACTTTCTAAAGTTTGTGCTGATAATGTTGTCTAGAATGACAATGAACGCTCGAAGAGTAAATCATCCAGCTCAGAGAACACAATACCATTCAAACTTAGCCGGATAGTCTGAATTAGAACTCACCTAGTTGGTAAACAGTCAGAGTATATCTAAAATATTTAGTTACCACTAGGAATGATTTTTTGTTAAACATCGCTACCACACATGGTGTCTTATAAGTTCGTATGACGAATATTACTAAAACTCAAATTCCACTATATACAAAACTGCTTTAAGCCACAGAACTGATATTATAACGATTTCTGGCCTCATTGTAAGTTCTTTTTTTCTGTACATGTTGAATAAACGCTATTTAATCGAGATTATTATACGTGTCAGTACATTGCAAAGGTAGGCTATTCAACTACGCATGCGAAATCAATGAGTGGTGGTACTCCAACTGAGACCTGCCCCCAGTACCCACTAACTCAAACTCCGAAGAGTTATCCGCTATACAACTGGGGCACCTCTTATGAGATAGTTATCAGTTATTATTTACAATCCATCGAAACAATTGAATAAATTCTTCAGTTAAGTGTGAAATTCCAGTATTTTTTTCAATCTAAACAATTGGCCACCAGTAGAAATACACTAATTAAATGATTAAGTTACAATGTATATCCTTGTAGCTTAACTGTACTATATCTCAAGTTTAAGAATCTTAGAAAAATTCAGCCAAAATTCTTCATCGTTTACATTACTTTTCTCTACACCTACGCAAATCAGGCCCTCAATAGGAATATAAGTTGGGGAAATTGTCACCAACAAAAGTGACTGAATGATACTTTCAGAGTAAGGGGATCATAAGTTGGAACTTTGGTTTCTGACTATTCATCCACACTCTTCGTCATTGACTGGCAGTGTTGATTGTGGTTGATACAAATACTACAACAGTGAAATGATCCAGGACCAAAAACTTTGAAAAATACCCCAAGTGACCTTGAGAGACTGTCACCTTGAATTAATATCAGGAATTGCCAAACCTTAAGTCAACGCATAGAAATTAGATGTACCTCAAGTGAATTGATCTTATTCGCTTTAAAACCTCTTTTGAAATAGTTAAAGCTTATAGGGATAAATACGAATTCATTTTACTAAGTTGCTCTACAGGAGCTAACGGAGTTCATTAAGAGCTACACTCAGTATCAACCAGCATCTCATAAAAATGCTTGAGAAATAGAGAGAGAGAGTCAAGAATGGCTTATTTTCAAAAGGTGAGTGAATCCTAAAACATCTTCAGGAAACAACAACAGCTAACCCTGACCATATTTCTCTAAACTCTGAACTGATATGACAAGCATTTTCACACCCACAGAATATAGCAAGGTGATCCAAGGTTGTTAAACAACTATATCAAATCTAATTTCTCTTGTGAATGAACAAGATATTTTGCCACCAAGTGTCTTACTAACTTAAGCAGTTGTCCGACTCATTTCATAACCGTTTCTTCGTATACTCTTCCAAAGGGATTACTGGTTTCCACGTTTAATTTAGCTGGTTTTATCTTTTTTTCCTCATTTTACCTATTTTTGATACACTAAAAATAGTGTGGACTGGACCATTTCTTAACTCGCTCATGGATATCTGACCGTCAACAGAAGAGAGGACAGTGCAAATACAAGATAAAATCCAAGTTGACAAGGAAATAAGCGTTCCAATTTCTAGTTAGAAGTTCTAATCTACTACAATTCTATGGAATAATTGGAAACAAATTAAGCACCTGGAAAAAAATCTGTAATTACTAAATTAATTTATTAGAAAAATAAAACATTCAACCCACCATAACATCGCATACTGTATTTAAATCTTTTCCCATTAGTTCAATCCCATTGACAGATAACAATTCATCACCTTCATGTAAAAGATCTAATTTCGGAAAAAGTTAATCACAAGCACTGAGTCAAAAAAAAGTCTGTTACAAAATTTCTTGTGTTCATATGTAAGTTTGTATATTACAAAGTGGTGTGTGGATTTCAAAATTTTGACCGAAAATATACACAGTAAATAAGCAAAGATTTTCAGACTCAAATATTTAGTAAGGGAATACAACTGTTCCAACTTTAAGCTCAAGAGTTATTCTCATCAAAGTACAGTTTGAGGCGTACAACCAATAAACATCCAAAAGCCCTGAACAAAAGTCTCCATTCTGCTAAGAGACTTTGTCAGTTGTTACCTAGGTCTCTTTAGGATCAAATCCAGGAAGATCAGGCCTTAAGAAACGAAGAGATTTCTATTGAAATTGTGACCGATAGGCCGAACCTCGTGGCCGTGAGGATAAATACTCAGTAATGATATTGGGTGATGGTCGCACTATGTCGTGAACTGATAGAATGAGGAAATATGCACCAATGAATTCCGACCCAGTGGCTTAATGGCAATGTGCTGGTCCCGGGCTCGGTCCCTGGCGGGGTGATGGGTGCGCACCGCTGAGCAGTCCCATGCTAGGTCAAAACAGCTGTCCAACTGATGTCAGTCCATGATGAATACCAACGTGAAGTCAGTGTGTTTGGTTTAATCAAGTAATACTTTTGACCATTCTGAGGTTCAAGTAGGAAGTTGTTAGCTTTCGGTAAAACCATGTCATCTAACATTATAATGATTTACTGGTGATTCTAAGATGACATGCTCGTCAATATCAATTAACATAAAATGAAGTTACTAGGAACTGAAAGCGGCTTTTACGCTCTTTACTCGAATTCATGCACCCACGTAACGTCCTGTAGGCGAATGCCGAAGATAATGATAACCACTGGTATCTCCTAGTGATATCCACTTACATTATTCTTAATCAGCTTTATCAAAGGTGTTCCGATAAATACAACCCCGAACATCTCTGACTTCCCAGGAATTAATTTTCTGCTCAGAGGACACCTGGTTAACTCGAACTATACAGGGAACAGTTAGGTGAAGATTCTAAAGAAATCCAGAGTCTTCTGAATACTTTGGACAAAAAAACAGAACATGCTTGGAGTGTGTTTTGCACCTAACAAATGCACTACCATGCTTTAGGATTGATCTGCACTGACCACTAGTTAAAGGATAGGGAGTGAATGGGTTGACTGCTTAAATTACTTGACCTGTTTGAGAAACTGTATCATCTCTAATGGGTTGGCTGTTGATAAAATCCCAGTTGGGTAACAAAAGACTCCTTTGATACCTTATATTACACAACAATGGTGCCTATCTTGTTGTGTAACGTCTGAATTTTGTTAGACATGCGTTCGAGAACTAATAACTGCCCACAGTCAACTAATTTCGGAATAAAATGAAGCATTCACACGGCCCGCTTTGATTCTGAGCGGTAGTGTAACTGACACTAGTCGATAACTGAGATTCTGTAGTAAATATATGCAGAACTTAAAAATACTTTTGTGTCGATCATTTCATAGCAAAAGGATGACATTAAGGCAGTAAGGTTGTGCACATCCGTGCAGTAGGCAACGAGCCACAGCTATCGTGTGACGGCTAATGACACCCTCTACCCGGCTGCCCTAACCTCAATAAGGGGAGCGGTGTTCTAACCTATGGTCCACCAGTTGAAAGACAACCCCCTTGACCAATCAGCGACAACTCGTTGCAGATAACAGAAACAGAAGTGAGTCACTTAAAGGATGACATTCCAAATGGATACCAAATAGAAAAGAGTCAGCATATTCTACTGTCAAGAAATAGATCCACCTCGCTACTACAGTTCATACTGGTGCATTGAAAGTGCATCAATGTGAAGAAACAGTAGAACACCTTCATGTATTTATAACTGATTGACGACATCTCATGGTTCTGTCTCCTACTATTCAGACAAAGTGTTGAGGTAATTTGGCGAGGTGCAAATATTCCTGCTACCTCCTGTTGGCTCTAGGGGGGAAAGTTCACGTGCATAATTTTATGTAGCAATAAGTTCACCTGTCTCCTTTAGAAAAAGAAAAGGCTTCGAGATTAAATTTGAAAATATTGGTAGAGGAACATTGTAGGGATCAATTACCGTCCATCAGAAGAGACACTGTTCTGATTTTAAGCCGTATTATTATTACAGATATCAATAGTTAGCACCATTAATAAATGTAGTCTCACTCAAGTGCATTCAAGTTCTTTAGGTGACCTTCAACAAGCCCGATAAACTCACTTGAGCCACTCATGTTCCTATTTAACTTTCTTCAATCAATTATAAATTATTTAAGCAACAGATTGCCGGTTTTTTTTTACCTGAAGACTAGTTCGTCAGCAGAGTAATCATCAAAAATCAAATCATCGAATCAATTATTTACTTATCGAATAAATGTCTAGTGAACTCAGTTAGTCGCATTAAAGTGTTTCTGTCACTTCCCATGATGGTCTCTGTCTCAAACAATGAATTGACCAATACTATTAGAATAGTCTGATCTTGAAACTAAAAATATATATAAATCTATATGATCGATATCTAACCACTCAAAATGACCATAAATCTGATTTATTGCCTTAAAAAGTAAATTAATAGTGAATTATATATCAGTGTGGTAAATTATGGCTAAATAATACGCCAAAAATGAAGATTTTACATCTACTAGCCAAATATTTCATCGTGACATAGAGAAACTCATCAGGTGAACACAACGCAAAACTGAGATCAATTACTTGTTCCCCAACTTGTTTCAACGTTTACTCTAGAAACTTTCAAATCAACAGAATACACTAAATCAACCATAGATTTACTTCTAATTTTCACCTATCAACAATCCTCAATCCAGGCTTTCTTACTGTCGTTGATGACTACTGTTTCGTACTCCTTATCAGTAAAAGCAGTTATATCATGCTTTTTACTTCTGAGTCTCTTTAAAAAAACTTTCTGTTTTTGAACAATTATTTAAATGCTGTTTTTTCTACCATTTTTCCAGTCATAAGGCCGTTAATCACATTTCTTATCAGTTCTTAGGTATTCACTACTGATATCTTTCAATAGTTCTTTGCACATTATCAGTGAATGTAGAAAAGTTATAATATGAATTCAACTAGATTAATCTGGAGATTTTACAAAGAAGTAATTTAAAGCAGCTTAGAAAATTCATAACCTCGCCTGGTTAACTAGTTCACTAGTTACTAGCCGGTCCTAAGCCCGGGTAAACAGGGAAGGTTGGGCATACGGCTAGCAACCCTACCCCGTAAAACAAATCTAACCGCTAAAGAAACTTCAAAGCACAAACGATATATAAAAAATGGTAACGAAATTATTCCTCGCTGGAATCGGAGAGGCGAAATGACACCAGTTGGTGAGAGCCTTCAGGAAGCCAATTGGCCGATGTGTCTTCTCTCTCTCAATAAAAGCGAAAGTAGACACGGGACATGGAATGTCCGCACCATGTTTGAACCCAGCAAGGCAGTCCAGATTGCAAAAGAGATGAGGAGGTATCACATTGAAGTGCTTGGAATTTGTGAAAGCATATGGAATGGGAGTGGACTCTCCAAACTGTCAACTGGAGAATCAATAATCTACTCCGGTCACCCAGATGACAACCACGAGCACACTGAGGGAGCGGCTATCATGATGTCCCCAACAGCATCGAAGGCCCTCATGCGGTGGGAACCAATCTCCTCCAGGATCATGACGGGAAGATTCAACTCAAAAGGAAGGAAGGTCCCAATCATACAATGCTACGCACCAACAAATAATACAGAGCAAGAGAAAAAGGAGGAATTCTACACACAGCTTCAATCAACACTGGACAAGACCTCAGTCGACAACATCGAAATTCTAATGGGTGGTGTGACATGAATGCCAAAATGGGAGCACACAACACAGGAAGGGAACTAACCATGGACCGAGAAGCGCTCGGTGAGGTGATGAACGAGAATGGAGAATTGTTTTCAGAATTCTGTGCATTCAACGATTTGATGATTGCAGTAAGGCAGTGTGTTCAAGCACAAGGATATCCACAAAGCGACATGGATTTCACCAGACACCAGGGCACACTAAAAATCAGATCGACTTCATCTCAATCTCAAGAAAATGGAGATGCAGTCTACTTGGCACAAGGTCAAGAAGAGGAGCAGATGTAGGTTCACACCACTATCTAGCGCAAGGAACCCCCCAACTCAAGTTAAAAGCCTTCAATGAAGCTGGTGATAGACCGCAGTTCAAGTACAACACTCAGAAACTGAAGGATGAAACTGCAAAGGAAATCTTCACGGCAGCCATCAAGACAAAATGGGAGATATCGAGGAACATCCCTGAAGAAACCTGTGTGGAAGAACACTGGAAGTCTTTGAAAGAGGTGTGGAAAGAAACCTGCACAGCCGTATTAGGAAGAAAGAAGAAAGAAGATAAGGAATGGATCTCAATGGATACATGGAAGCTGATAGAGGAGGGAGAGGAGGATGGTGAAGCAGAGGATAAACCAGTGCAAGGATGCTCAACGACAAGATGAACTGAGCACAATGTATAAAACACTGGACAAAGAAGTGAAGAGTGCACGCAAAGACAAAAGACACTTCTACGAAACACTGGCAAGTGAAGCAGAACAGGCTGCAGGTAGGAGAGACCTGACAACATTATCAAATAACCAGGTTGCTATCTGGGAAGAGATCAACGCAGACAAAACCAACAAAAGATGATGACGGAAATTTAATTACGAAAGAAGAGAAACAGAGGAAACAATGGGCCGACCACTTCGAGAAGCTCTAGATTCAACCACCACCTGCACTCATCCAGAAATACCACCTACAGCCGCTGAACTACAAGTGAACATAAATCCTCCAACAAAAGTCGAAGTCCTGAACGCCATAAAGCTACTGAAATGCGGGAAAGCAGCAGGACCAGATGGGATCCCGTCAGAAGCACTGAAACAGACACAGAGACAACAGCAACGGATATGCTCACACCACTATTTCAG